GTGGCCCCCACAGTTGACCTCAGCTTATTCAGTCACGTACACATGTGCGCACACACCCGCGCATACACTTACCACACCACTTCTTTGGCCAACTCTGCAGGGGGCCTTTGCAGGCGGCATTACCTCGGGCAATTGCAATGCACCCGTAGCAAACCACTTGAACTTGCTCCGCAACCACTGCCTCAAGCTCTTTCGGGCCTGGCTGGACGCAGTCAACACTAGCCCTGGCTTCGCCGGTGGCCACTGCCGCCTGGGACAGCAATTGGGAGTTCTGTACACAATAAATCATTCCTTCTGGTGACTTCTGCCTTTTACTTTCCAACCAGGGGTTTCGATTTGATGATTGTACTGGTCCGAATACATCCACTACTTAGACCGCTACAGTGTATTTGTGCAGCCGCTCCTAGAATATGCACTACAGGCTTGGCGACCGTGACTTTGGAAAGACACGGGTATTCCTGAAGGTGTACAAAGACTGCTCATGAGTTCAAGAATCATACATACGAACAGTGTCTGACTTCCTTGAAGGTAACTTTATAACAACATTTCGGAGGTTAAGAAACATCGGTCTGGATGTCACCTGAGAAATTCTTTTTGAAATGGCACCAAAGAAGAAGCCCGAAGACATGATTGCTTGAAAATGAATAGTGCCGCACAAACCAATACTCCTCCTTTTTCTATCAGAGTTAGTCGTTAGTGGATCTCCTAACTGGCATATGTTATCCACTGTCTCACTGTAAGTTTGTTCAAAAGATGTCTGCATACTCATCTGTTAACTGTCAACACGAACTTTCAAAGTCCCATCTAGTGGATTAATTATATACATATAAACATAGTACTCCCTTGATTTCGATAGATCGTTTTTTTTACGTTAACTTTGGCTCTTGTAAGGTGGCATAATCAAATGCACTGAACTTGTTTGCTGTTATTTCGCAAAAGCCGCACCTTTTTCGAAATTTGTGTTTCATTATTAGTTTTATGCATTATGTATACTAACGTGACCTGTAAAAATGTTGCTGCTTAAGCATTTTTAATGCGTACCTGTAGCGTTCAATTGCTGTTTTTGAGGGCCTCTGTCATTTACTTGAAATACACTGATTGCTTGATTATATGCGTGCGACAGAGTTCGTTTATGCTGCTGGTCCACTTTACCAGTTCTTTGGTTCCGTGTGATTTGATTTTATCGATTTGCTTCACTTTCAGTCCACTGGGAAGGTGAAATATAACCTGGATTTTCAGTTTTGGGGATAATAAGCGAAGCCTTTGAGGTTCTCATTCCTTTACACGTCAGTGTGTAATAAATAACGGGCCGCATCTTTTTACATATTCATTTCTATAAATATATTATTCGCATGATTTGAGTAGCATTGTTTTTTAAACTTATTTGTGTTACGCCTTGGTGTGCGCATCAGGTGTAATTTGACCTTTTTCACGAAAATGAAGGCCACACAGCCGTCAGTAACTGGTGGACTTACTGTTGTAATTGAAATGCATAATTACAGTTGTGCTCATTTGCCTGGTAACCGGCCCAGTTACTGATCAAATCTATCGCTTTGTGTCGAACATTGGTTCATCTCTCCCTTCTCATGCTCTGTCGGTTCTGGTGGCTGTCAATCGTATAAATCATCTTATTAATGCCCATTGGCGTTGCGGAGATTTGGTCTGCATTGCTATTTAATTTTACTTGCCAGTCATTTTCTCTTTTGGTTCCCTTTTTAGCATGCTAGGAGACGCAGCGAATCACCACTTATCGTTCCGACTTCCGTCTTCGACACTCTTCAGCACCTGGCTCCGGAGGATGTCAGTCTCGGCAGTGAACGAACTCCGTGCGTAACCTTTGAAACTTTACTTCTTTTAAAATACCTACTCCCTATGCATTGTACCTCAGTAAATGTATTTATTTCAGTACTTCACGGAAGTCCGATGATGCACCCGCGGCAGAACCATCAAACAAGGACGCCGATGCCGACTTAAAAAGGCTTGCAACGGCAGCTCACCATATGCGCAAGCTTCGGGCCTACTGTAGGTCACAGTTGAGACTGCTGTATGATCTGCAGAAACTGCGAGATGCGCGTCGTCAACAAATGACTAGTCAGGGTAGGGTAGCGTTCCTTCGAACTGCCTGACACTTCGCTGTTGTCCTACTTTGCCTCAAACCTCCTCCTCTCTCCCCTCTGTCTCCCTCCCAGG